GAGGGAGGGGGAGGACTAGCGTAGACTAGCGCGGCCGACTCGGCTCGGGGCTCGGGCTCCGCTCGGCTCGGCTTGGCTGCGCTCCGCTCGGCTAGTGGCTCGGCGCAACAACGCGTAGCGCGAGCGACGGCCTCACCTCAGCCGCCTCACGACCCCGCCTAGCGCAGCTTGCTATCTCTTTAATATTTCTTAATCGAGAGTTAAAGCAATGACACCTTACATTACTCATGTATAGTTGTGTTTAGATATGTTTATGTTTAGGTGTAAGGTTGTAAGGTATCATCTGCTAAAAAGTACAAATAATTATGGCAGTAGAATAGGTTTTCCTAGAAACTTGTTGTTAGGACTAGATATAATCAGTGTGGATGTTGTGTTTGTGTTTATACCTTGTGTATTTCTAATATTTAATGTGATTTTGTTTTGTTATGTTGCAGGCTGCATGTGGACCAGAAATTAGATTTCCAATAACAACATGAAAAGACCCCAGTTAACATTACAATGGCTTGCTTTTGTAGTGTTACTGGCTTCTGTGGCAAAGAGTGCGCTGACGGAGAAATTTGTGTGTCCTAGCAATTGCTCTTGCTCTCCAGAAGGACATGAAGAATATGAACTGTCTTGCCCGGGAGAGGGAGAACAACAAATTACCATTCAGCTTAAGTCCCACAGCAAGGCCATCATACAATGTCAAGTGAATACTGATTCTGATGACTACAGCCTACTTAAAAATGTTTATATTGATGCTGGCGCTTTACTGGACTTTAGGCTTTGTCCACTTCCAGATGTACCCTTCACAGATCTTCTGCAGGTAAGCTGAGTTCAGTTACAAATTTACAATATCATTCTTTTTATTATAAACAGAAGATGCCATTATATTTTTTATGTTTTCTAGCTCCGCTATCCTGCGAAAATCCAGACATTTACCTTCAAGTCATATCGCAGTTTTAATGATACTTTAGAAAGAAGGCTATTTAAAGGCCTGACAGGAATAACGTCACTAACTTTGGCAAACAATGGTTTGACAACTCTCCCGAATGATCTTCTTATGGATATGCCACATCTGCAGCAGCTGTACTTGTTAAACAATCTTGTTCAGCCTCCAAGTGACTTATTCCAACCAGTTCTTAGTTTAGAGACCTTAGACCTGGGAAAGAATGAACTGATGACTATTCCTGTAGATTTGTTTCGAAATCTGAAGAAACTAAATTTGCTCAATTTATGGAAGAACAAGCTATCAAACTTATCACCTGAGATGTTTCGAGATCTCACTAGTCTGACAGCACTTGACCTTCGCCATAATGGGTTGACTTCACTGCCAGCTGATATTTTTACTTATTTGACAAGCTTGAAGAATCTTAGTCTGAAGGGAAATAATTTTAAAACATTGCCGGTTGGACTATTTAGTACCAACAAAAATCTAGCTACGGTCCAGCTTTCTGACAGCCGAGAGCCAAACTTCCAGCTTCCCAGTGGATTATTTTCAAACCTACCCAACTTAAAAACAGTTGATCTAAACAATGATGGCTTGAAAGAAATTCCAGAGGATATCTTTTGGGGTTCAACAAGCTTGCATAACATAAATCTGCAAAATAACCAACTAAAGGAAATTCCACCACAACTGTTCCAAAATGCAGTTGAATTGGAAAGGCTTGACTTAGGCTCAAATCAGATTTATTCATTGACCGACAGCATTTTTGGTCAATGTAAAAAGTTAAAATTCCTTGATCTATCATTCAACAGAGTAATGAACCTCACATCGTAAGTACAAGCTTGTTGCCTTTTCTATACAAATGTTTTTCGTCTTGGACTTGGACTGATCTGAATTTTTATTTTATTTTAGAAATGCATTTACTGGCTTAGACAATTTGGAGGAGTTAAATATGCAGAACAATGGTCTTCGTCACGTGGATATCAACGCATTTTCATCAACATGCAACCTAAAAATTTTGAACTGGGCAAACAACAAATTATCATTTCTGGATAATGAGGGATACACCGAGGGAGGTCCTCGTACACACAGTGAATTTGGAGATACTTCCCCTTTGAAGAATTGTGTGCACCTCACAAAAATTGATTTGTTTAATAATTCTATTCCCTCCATCTTTGCTGATTGGAGGCTGAATATGCATCATTTAAGTGTACTGAACTTGAGTCACAATGCACTTCAGGCACTGCATCTCTATACTGATGCTTTTGTACCTCCTCATAATCGTGAAATTGATTTACGCAACAACAAAATTTCAGTAATTGATTTAAATGGGGCTGAAGCATGGGCTTTAATTCAACAAAAGGATCCCAACAGCAAAAGATCAAGGTGGCTTTTGGATGGAAATCCTCTATCATGTAATTGTTCAAACTATGACTTCCTGAGGTACCTTGAAAAGCAGATAGCTCCTGAGGTAGGGACAACTACTACTAAAAGATAGTTATTCTTATACCTAAATGTACATTATAAAGATATTTACTGTGAAAATTCTGTCTGTTTCAGGTGCTGGATATTGTAGATTTTGAGCCAGGAAATTTGGCGTGTGCAACTCCAGAAAATTGGAAAGATGAGCCAGTGGTGAAAGTGGCCTCAAGAGCTGTAACCTGTCCTATAACTTCACTCAATGAGACACTGACATGCCCATATCCCTGTGAATGTGAATTCCGAGCTGCTGATGCTGCTATTATTGTTGATTGCATAGGCAAAAACTTGACCGTAGCACCTGCTGAATTACCAACACATTCCCAGTCAAATCATACTGAACTTTATCTTACTCACAATCGACTGAATGCACTCCCTGATTTCTCTTTTCCTGGCTATCAAATGATTTCAAAATTGGCTCTAGGACACAACAATATAACAAGGCTGAATAATATAACACTGATGCCTCAGATTATGCAAGTGAGTCTCTTTGCTAAAAATGAAAGATTTATTTTGGAAATAAAAGTTTTTTGTACTAATAAAATGCATTCGTTTTACAGATGATTGAACTGAACCACAACAACCTGACAGTTGTAGAATTGCAGACAATGCAATTATTTTCTAATTTAACAAATCTCACAAACATTGCCTTACATGATAATCCATGGAAATGTGATTGCCAGCTTCAGCCGCTTGTAAGCTTTGTGCAAACTCACTATACACAGGTAAGATATGTTTATGTAACTAAATGTTTCATCCCATAAAGCCCCTTTTTCTAAGACTAATTTTCATTCATCATAATATGCTTCACCAGATATCAAGCCCGAAAGAAATCAAATGTACTGATGGTCAGCTCTTGTCAGAACTCACTGCTTCTGGGTTATGCTCGCAAGCTAGTAGTGTAGTGTGGGCATCGCTTGTCATCGCTCTTCTGCTGGGAGGGCTGATTGGAGGAGCATTTGCTGTTTACTACAGATTCAACCATGAAATTAAGGCATGGCTCTTTGCTCACAATTTGTGCCTTTGGTTTGTCACCGAAGAGGAGCTTGATAAGGACAAATTATATGATGCCTTTGTTTCATACTCTCACAAAGATGAGGAATTTGTTGTAAGTATCTATTGCTGTAATGGATTGTGCTTTTCATGGTTTAAACTTTAGAAGAGAAACTTACTAATTGACCACTTTTTCTTTGAAAGGTGAATGAACTCGTACCTGGTTTAGAAGGAGGACCAATGCCTTTCAAACTTTGTCTTCACTATCGGGACTGGGTAGCTGGAGAATGGATTCCTAATCAAATCACTAGATCAGTTGAAGACTCAAAACGCACCCTAGTTGTTCTCTCGCCAAACTTTTTGGAAAGTGTTTGGGGAAGGATGGAGTTCAGAGCTGCTCACTGTCAAGCACTTAGTGAAGGAAGGGCTCGTGTTATTGTAGTGCTCCTGGGAGATATTGGACCAACTGAAAATTTAGACCCGGAACTACGTGCCTATCTTAATATGAACACCTATGTTAAATGGGGTGATCCCTGGTTCTGGAAAAAGCTTCGTTACGCTCTTCCTCATCCACCTAAAGCTATGAAAGGTAGCATGGGTCTAGTCAATCGCAATGCAAAGCACATGAATGGAAAGCCAACCGATGACAAAATTGAACTTATTTGTGAGCCCAACGGCATGCCACCTGTAACTACTCCACCTGCTGAGGCTAATGTGACTGATCCCCTTTCAATTAAGAATGCCTTAAATGAAGTAATCTCTGCTCCTAGGAAAGTTCCTATTCCTTCTCATGGAACAAATGGAACCGCAGCAGCTGTTGGCTAAAATACTATGGTGTGTAGATTAATATTCGTGATAATCTGTGCCATAGTGCATGTCCGTACAATTTACTGTCTCAAATTACGATCTCAGTTTCATTGAGAATACATTTTGTGTCTCATTGTTAAGTACCTGAACTATAAGTAGATATGCCCAGTGTTTTACTGCTTGTCAAGCCAGTGATCAGACATAGCTTCCTTAGGATCAAGGAATTAAATACTGATATATGCTAGAATGTAATTTTTAAAGACTGATGTGCTGTCATCAACGATAACGCTCAAAAGACTTAAATGTTTGAACTAGCATGGTATAAGTTAACAAAGAGTTTGTGACACATATGGTAAATATTTTTATGTGTGTTTGACTTTGTGATGTGTGAATGTCATGTATATAGTTAGTGTCTGTATAAATGTGATATTGTAGAGTGAATGACATAAGACTGTTTGCAGTTGCTCATAGTTAGTAATGAAGGTATTATTAGATGAAGACATCATATTATGTGTGTGTGTTTGTGTGTAAGTATTCAGTTAAGCCTAGATTTATTTCAATAATATAAAAAAAATTGGTAATTTCTTATACCGTGTGAAACTTGTCATCTAGTATGATTAATTAAATTTAGTGGAAACAATCTCTGTACTCATATAAATCATTTGTATATTATTTTTCACCCATCCCTCTTTTTATTATAAAATAAAGAGAACTATCAAAATAAAATTGTTTTTACTCACCGCCAACAGCTTTGGCTTGTGCATTCGTCTATCTGAGGCACAAGGAAACCAGATTTCAGCACCTGAAATTTCTGTTGTAAACACCACCAATATAAGTACCAACACATTCATGCCCTTTTAAAAAATTCATAGTATAAAAATAGTTCAGAACAAGGTACACACCTCTGTCAGCACAAGTGTTCCGATAAGTACCACGGAAAAATATTTTGACGGTGTTATTACTGCTGTCATAATATGCAAAGTGTTGGTACCCAAAGCCAGTGAAATTCATGAAGCCATTTCCAAGGTGAGCACAAACAGCTGTGTCTTTACACTCAATAGTTTCTGATGATGCTACATCCATCCAATACTGTGGCCAGGCACATAAATAGACAAATAGATTCTCTCCAGTCAGACTTGGCTTTAATCCTTTGACCATATCCTTCAAAAAATAAAATTAAAATATTAAAAAAGAGATATGTTTAAAAATTTTAAGTGAGTAAACGGAGTAAACCCATTTTCCTATTTTTTCCCCCTTTTTTTACCTTTAGTACACTCTCTGGATATAATCCCGTTAGATTAAAGGTTTCATGTGTACCATAGTTCGTTAGTAGACAGTTTTGGCGATCGAATTCGACTCTGTCTTCAATGCAGACAACACTTGTATTCCATGAAAAGAGGTAATTACAGTCTCCAGTTCCTTTCCCTTCATACTTTGGCCTTCCCTTAATAGTGAAAAGAAGCAAATTAAAAGATATAAGGCATAGAAAAGTAAACAATTGAGGATTACATCTAATGGTAAAGAATATAATCCCACAAGAGACAAGATGCTTACAGGACCAATGCTGGGGTCACAAATGAAACGAATAGTAGCACTGGCCTTCCCCTTGGAGGGAAAAGGACAAGGCTCCTCTCCATAATACTGCCATACTACTTGTGGCTTTCTGTCACCAGGTGGGTGATCAAGATAAGGTCTGCCATAAGGTGTACCTAGGCTCTGTATCAAGATATTTAAAGGCATGTGACAGAAATGTTACGAGTAATAATGTCAAAAAGCACTTCCTTTAATTATGTGAAAGCCTTACCAAAGGTTTCTCAATTGGAAATCGCGAGTCAGAGTGCAGCATGCATATTGATGCTCCCTCTTTACAACCTTCTCTACTAAATCTTGGCAGTGAACCACAGACATTTATAAGAAATACGTGGCCATCAGGTGACTCTACTCGATAAGGAGCTGTTGGCTGCATTAAACTGACTAGTGAAATATCAACCCCATCTCCATAGAATGGGGTATCAACCGAGCAGAATAGCTATGAAATAAAATGTACACTATTATTATATGACAATTACAAAAATAGTACAGGCAATCTTAAGAGCGGTCACACTTAGACACGGTATACACGGTATACACTTGGCATAAATTCTAACTATTTGCTCTAAACTCACAGTGTTTTCTTCACAGGCCAAATCTGTGAAAAACACAAAGTGTTGAACACATTTATCAACACCAACATACTGAGGCCCATTTCTTGGAAAAAACTCATTAGTGCATAGAAAAGTAATTTCGGTTCGAAAAATACTTGTTTCTTCACATGGGTTTCCACTCAGATAAGTAAGAACCAACTGGTTGCCAATGTGATGGAGATCATCATTAAACACACCTACACTGGAGACTGTTGTAAAATTCTGAATGCAAGATCCTGCACAGATATAAAGCTTTGGTCAATAGAATTTTACATGTTATTATAGCTTAGAACTAAAAAATCATAGATAATCATGTATACCAGAATTGAGTCCGCAGTCTCCGAACTCTAGCTTAGGAAGTTTGGAGCACACTGACAAAAGTGCAAAGGCAGTTTTAGGGTAGGCTGGAGGTGAGATGGGCATAATCCATGTCTTATTTTTAAGAGGACTCAAATTGAACCTGCAAAAAGAAAGACACACATTTTGACTTATTGCAAAGCAAGAAAGCACTTGCAAAATATTGCATGAAATAGTTTTAAAATGTACCTCTTGAGGCTCTTTTTATTTACAGCTCCACAACTCCTTTTTTTCTCCTTGTACCTCTCATTATAACTTGCTGAACATGCATCTTTTGTTTTCCACAGAAATTCAAAGTGACAAGGAGAAGATAACTCTCCAGTTATTTCTGATGAGTTGTATTCCTTCAAAATAAAAGGTAAATTAATTTCATAGTAGTGGTATTATAAGTTGAAATTTAAAACGTTTAGAAGAGTATCACTATTTTTGTTACCAGTGGATCACAGATAAAAGTTATAGTTGATGAGTATCGCTGCTTCTTGTTATTGTCACAGAGATCGCCATTTTTCAGATTTATTCTTAAGGAGTTTTTCGTAGGGTTCTGATCATCTATGAAGGGGCCTGTGTCATCCTTTGCTCCAAGGCTGATGAATCTAATGAATAGACATGTGCTTTGATAATAAAATGTAAAACTGCAGTAGAAGAAAAGCTTCTCTTAAAAAACTTTTACTTACCTATCTTTTGAAACTGAATCATTTGCCCGCCGGTGCCAACAAATTTCAGAATAAGTGGGGCAATGATTACCATCTTTATTTTCAAAAGAACCACAAATGTTTACAATAATATACATTTTGTCCCCCGAATTTTCATTTAGCACAGATATTTTATGTTCCAATTCAGGATTTGATAGAGTGGATAGGTCATACCAGTTTCCTGATACATCACTCCTAACATTACACTTTCCCTCTTCCACATAGCGTGCACACACTTTGTTTGTCCTCCATACCACATAAAAATGACAATCCTGCTGTGAAAGGAGAATCAGAAATAAGATTACGACTGCCAGGCTATTTTTCAAGGATTTTGACAGAAAAAGTATTTTCCTTACTGCTGCAATGAAGTCGAGGTTGCTGTGTTGGATTGTTTTAGCTAATAAATCACAATACAACATGATGGTCACTTTTGTATATTCCTTTCCAAGCTCACAAGGAGGGCCATACAAGTCAAATTTTATTATTCCGTCATAGTACTTCGGAATTGTTGCTGGTGGACCTGATCAAAACATGATAAGAAAATGTATTATGGGATAATCAGAAGAAAAATAATAATTCTAACATAACTGAGTCTATTAAATATAGACTCCTACCTATTGGATATTCTGTATCTCCTTTATACCAGCATACACTGGTATTTGTGTTGCCATTGCATGGCTTTACAAGAGGACCACATAGGTTGAATCTTAATTGAGGCTTAACATTATTGGTTAACACTGGACATAAAATATCTGATTCATTTCTTAAATCATTAAGATCAATGGTTGAACTGTCAAGTGGAGATTGTATTCTACAATCTTTTCCAACAACATCCTACAACATAAATAAAGAATCACTCACAGGTCAATTTGTATGGACAATAGTAAACAACATGTGTGTGTGCAGTCATAAACAGCAAGTGAACTACATTACATGAGGTGAAGAAGAGCAACATCTAGGTAGCAGAAAGCAACAGCAAATTCATCTACCTTTATAAAATATATGTATATGTATGGAATGTATAAAAAACAAAAACAAAAAAAGCATTAATAAGGCAGAACAAAATTCAAGAAACAAAAATGGAAGTAGAGCAAAATAGAGCTGAAATTTCTATGGGTCACAATACTAAATCTCATTACCCTGTTTGGACACGCTGCTGGTGTTACATGCCTTACATACATATCACACCCAGATTCTTCTATTTTTATTAAATTAGGCATTGTTTCACAGTAGAGTTCCAAGTAAGTCTTATATCTCTGCCCAGGTTTGCCAAAACCACAACGATCACCATCTGAAGAGGAATGAAGAGTTTCTTAGTTATAATTATAAAAGGATAGTAACCAGTAATTTTGTTTTGAAATGGTAAGCTCCGCTCTCTTACCTGGGAAAACAAAACGAATAAAACTATGGTTTTTGTTACTTCTGTCAGTGATCACTTCTGGTGCCTGTCCCTGCACACCCATGACTCGTATAACAGTCTTCCCACGTATTTGACAAGAGGCAAATCCTGGTCCTGAACACGGTAATTTTGGATCCTTCTTTGGGTAGATTGGACCACATACAGAAATTATTACTTTTGAAGCACCATAGTCAAATTCTAGGACCTGACCGGCCATAGAATACAAATTGTACTGTTGTCCAGTGTCTTCGTCAACAGCCTATAAAAACCAGTAAGGATTAATTAGGACAGTGTTTTCAAATGAGTAAGTTTATGGCACTGCACTTTTATTGAAATGCCCTACATTAGACAGGTAACATTGACATTAGCAGGAGATATTGGGTCATGTGAAAATTCTAGACATTACCCAGCTAAATTGGCATTTCTAGGGTAATGCTGAATTTTATAATTTGTGTGACAAATTTGGCAAGGGTATTGGGTAATGTTTGACATATTTGTAAATTTCATTCATATTCATCAGTGTGCAAGCCTGCACCTAAGAGAATAAATCAATGTAGTTCCATTAAATTACTTCAAAATCAGACAAAGGTAGGCCAATTGTGCTGAAAGGAGGCAAGAAGTATGGCTTAGACTCTCTCTAGACGGTTCGGATCACTGAAGGATCACTTACCAAGATAGTATCCTATTGAGGACATTACTTGCGTAACTGAGGCAATAGGATTACCCAACATGCTCTGGATGTTGTCAACATTACCCGCATTATGTACAGTAAATTAATCCAGTCTGAAAATGTACCATGATGTTTCCCGACATTCAACATCACCCACAACATACATATACAAACATGTACTCACAATACATAGAGGAGGAGGAGCCAAACAACCTATTGGAGTTTCCATCAAAAAAGATTTTGTTTTTTTCTTATTGACTTTGTAAGATATTACTGGCTGGTGAAAATCTTCATTGTCAGGGACACATTGCAAAGCAATTTCTGCTTTACCACGTCCTTTGTTTCAAATACAAAACATTGTTTAAATTCAACACTTATTATCAGCAGTATATTTATCACTTAATCAAAACAAAACATACCTCTATCTTTTTTGGCAAAGCCAATCACAATGCCTATAAGACGACTGTAAAATGCATACATGGTATCCGCAAGAACTGTTGTTTTATTTGATACCTCATCAATTTCACATAAAGAAGCTGTACTGTTACATGCACCTTTTCTCACTGGTCCACATATATTTAACTAAAAGAACAAGAAAGTGGCAGATTGAAAAATAACACACACCTCAGAATTTTCACAGGTACTCATCTAAAATACTTAAGTAAGAAACACAGGAATAAAAAGAAAATAACTTACTTGGTATGTCTTATTACTAATAGGATCACGGGTTGTCCAAAACGTGCTTGACCTTAATGGTCTCAAATCTAGTGTCACATTGTGCTCTAATTGGACACCACAAGGTACTTCATCCTCAAAAATTCCACAGTATCCTCCAGCAAGCCCATATATATGGACTTCACAACTGCCAAACCCAGTCCACTCTCCCAAAAATTTTGGAGATGGGTTTTCATCCTGAATTAAGAAGTCATAAAATTATCAGCAAATAACAATAAACATAATTTCAAAGTACTTGTAGTGTGGAAAGTGAATAAAAATGTATACCTTTGAGTTACATCGCATATGGAAGTGATAAATGAATGGTTTACTACTATCATTTTTGCACCGTGAATCTATTAAGTCAAAATTCAAGGTATCTGAGGTACCATTTATTACGACTGAAACAAAACAGTAAGAACATAAATAATTGTTCAGTTCTAATAATAATAATAACAACAACAAGAGGACATATCTAAAGGAATCTTTTGGGCTCTTTGATTCAAGAGAAAAAGTAAGAAAATCCAGACTGGAACTAGCCGCGAATTTGCTCCAAAAATGGGAATTAATTTTCTTTGAAATTCATCTGAGAGGTACTCAATGATGTGTCTGCCGAGTGAGACAACGTGAAATATCAGGTAGCATGAATTTTTGAACTGGGCCCCTTGGTGATTTCCTTGCATTTTCTCTAAGTATGATAAAGAGCAATAAGGTTGATTATATAATTAAAAAGGTGATGGCAGATTTTAACAACTTACCAATAGACTCATTGTGGTTCAATTGATAAATATCATTTGTGTCTTTTTCAAATATACATGCTGTTCCATTGGTAGTGCAATGGCCATTATTTACAAGGGGATGACAAAGATTAACCATGACTTGATATTGTGGACCACCACGAAGTCCATCAGACGAAATAACTTCTAGTTCAATTGTGTATCTTCCTGAAAATCTGATTGGGACAATAACAACAAAAGTAATCAAATTAAAGTACAGAAAAAAAAAGAATTGTTGCATATTTCATATTTGAAGAAAAAAAAACAAATGTTCATGTTATAAATAGACAACTTTCAAAAACCTGATGGAAAGAATTTTAACAGTAGTTTTTCAGCATAAAACAAAGAATTTATTGTTATTTGCAGAGCCATGAGTGATGAATGAGAGAATGAATAGTGTCGTCCTTGTAATACGGGAAGAGACTGTTCGCTGACGTCCGAGCCACTTAGTTTATCACGTAATAGTAATTATTGCTTTTGGCAGAAGTAGAGAAAGTTATTGTTTACGTTTGGAACAAAGCCGGTTTTGTCTGCTGTAATGGCACTTACCTATTTAAATCGTAGTGTATTTCCCTGCCGTCTTCTTTGGTTTTCAGAAACTGCTTGCATTGTTCATTATATTCCCTAGGAACAACTAAACGGAGAAGCGTAAAAAGCACAAGCAGCAAATATTCGTCCATTATTCCGTTTTCTTTGGTAAACAAAAAATCCCTAACCTACAAGCAGACATAGCAGCATTCTGGTTTTGTATTTCTTCTGCTGCCGCATTATTAACATTCGTATAGAACAAAAACCAAAGTTCTATTTATATTGAAATTTTTCATATTGAGACTGAAGAAAGCAGATGGGAGGAATGGGATTTATGACGCAAAGGTGACGGTGAAAACAGCAGACGATTGGTAAAACGAAAACAACAACAAGAAGGACCTGGGTAGATGGGATATATACACACAGACGTACAAAGAGAAAAGTCCTGACCATGTTCGACTTTTACAGTTGAGCCAAGAACTTAGTTGCATTAGTCGGAGTCAACGAGTGTTGTTTTCATTCGGGATGAATATTTGTGTACATTTTAAATAGAATCAGTGGATATGGAGTAGGTAGTGGACAAAGTCCTTGATCATCCTGTCTCCCTGCTCGCTCAGCTTCCCTGTTGAGACTTAATACACAAAAGGTAAATAGAGTGATCTCACCTTTTTATTCATTATTGTACCAAGCAGACAGTATTTTACTTGTTTCCTGGGTCTACAGTTGTATTAGTCTTAGATTCTATTCATTATTTTCCAATTATAGTGAGTTGTTGATAGTGTGCTCTGTTGTCATTTAGGACTCAGGTTAAAAGTCACATTTGGGTATTATAATATTACTCACCATCTCACAAAGTGTGTTTTTTCTCTGTCAAGGATGGTGGAAAATTCTCAAGTATTACCATCATGGCCTAGAAACAGGTCATCTGAGCGCAGTCGTGGGTCTAAGACTTTCCGAAACCCACCTCAGCCTCATATGTGTATTCAAGATTATTTGGAGGTATCATTTTCTTTCTTCTTTAAATGGTACAAATTTAAAAATCTTTCTCACTTGATACTAAGTGTGTTCATTTCTTTCAGGGATCACAAGAACCATGCTATATCAATGTCCTATCATGGGAAAAGATTGCACTACCCTCTACTCCTGAAGATTATATTCCACTCTACGGGGGAATGCAAGTACCACATTCTCCACCCAGTCATTCCCCGGTTTTTGCTGTGATGGCGAACCCAGAAGTTCTGCGTGCCAAAGGAAAGCATGCTGCAGATCCTCAGGTAGAGACAATTAATTTACTATGTTTCACAATTTTATTCAAATTTGACAGCTAATACTATTTTTTTTTTAAATTTTAGGAAACTCATGCCCTGGTTTTGATGTTACTTGATTTCGTTGAGCTTATGAACCGCAACCGTGGTCTTCATTTTGCGAGGCATTTTCACATATTGCCTGACAGAGATCTAGCTGGGGAATTGAAAAACGTTTGGGCAGCAGTGCAAATGAAACGTGCTCAAGATACAGCTGCAAGAGCTTCGATGCAGCAGCTAGCCTCATTAGAGCAGCAAAGAAAGCAACAACTAGTACATCAGTTGAAGAACTCAGTCGACAGAGATGGTAAATTAGAACTAATTTAACTGTAGAGGAATGAAAGTTCTAAAGAAAGTGAATGCAGTGAGAACTTTTGATGGAACTTTTGATGGACTTGTGATGGAAAGGAATAATTTTTTTAATGTAATCTTTGTTTGGTTTGACAGTTGAAGAGCAGATTCAACGTGAACGCAGGAATCAACAACAACTTTTTAAAGAAAGACAGGCAATTGCTCAAAGAGAACAACGCTATCGTCAGCAGCAACAACAGCATGATGATCTACAAAGGAGAATGGATGAGTTTGAGATGGAGAAGTATTTAGAACAGAGACATCATCAAAGACTTCTACATGAACAGCAAAGAGATCAGAAACGCTATGACCGTCTTCTCATGAAATCTTTGGAATCCCCTAAAACGTCAGACAGTAATGAAGGGAGACACATGTCTGATTCAGAGGTTTGTTCATACCATACACAAATGTTCTTTCCTCTCATTGATATTTGTGCTTATTCATGTTGTGGAAAAATTATATGTCAATGGTATTTTCCTTTTATTTTATTGCAGTTTCTAGCAGAAAACTCAACAGCACTAGACTTTAGTGTCAAGCGGCATGCCTCTGAAGACTCTTGCTTATCCATTGTTGGCAACAATTGTGATGATAGTCAAAATTCTAATCAAGACCTGGAATCAATTGATCTTGGAGACTCCTCACCGGTCTCAACCCCTACCACACCAACTTCTCCTCACAGTAACATTATTGACTGTAGCTCAATGAAATATAGAGAACAGGAATATTTATCAACATCTGCCAGTGAATCTGACTATACTTCAGATGATGGAGATGCAACTGATATTGATGCAGAACTTGATGGTGAGAGTGATACTGATGGTGAGAAACGGCATTTTTTAGCTCGAGTAACATTGAGAGTTGATTCAGAGGAAGAAAATCCTTTTGAGGTAGAGTCCAAAGGCGGACATGATGGAGGCACCACCAGTAAGCTCAAACATTGAATTAATGAATGTTCTGGTTCAAACATGCTCATCGTCATTTATATAAGTTGTCATAGTCATTGAGACATAGGCTATAGCAACTATGTTTTAAGTGTGTGAGACAGAAGAGGAATTTTTGTAGCATTGTTTTTGTTAGTTTTTTGTTTTGTTTTATCTTTGGGGGGAAATGCCATGTGATCTCATTGTGAATTTTGCTGTTATTGTTTTTATTATTTTTGAGGGCTAAGGATTGTATTAGAGAGTGCAGGTTCTGTTCTATCAATTTTCTCAATACTACTTGTATTTATGATTTGCCCCACTGTTCTGAGAAGCATGGTTCATGTCTCATATCAAGCATCCAACATTTTTGCGGTACTAAACAGCAATCACACATTTTCATTACTATACCTTCCACTTGATGCTTCGTAAAGCTTACGTTGCGTGGAAATTATGCATGCGTTTTGTGACCTCTTAATCAACAACACTTATTCTTTTCATCGTTGTATGTACTGTAACTCTTCATATTTTTAATGAATTGAGTATCATGTCAATTTATAAGGTTTTATGCCACTCATGTGTTATCTTTTTCATTGTTGTTTTATTTTGTTGAAAATGTTTATGCTTTCCTTAGATTTATGTTTTGTAGACTTATTTGGACATTTTTAGTATATGTTGTGCCTTGTGCATATGTCATGTTAAATGTATGTTTTAATTGACTTGACTTTATTTAAATCTCTTTTTTTTGTGTGTAAAGTGCTGAAGTATGTAATCATCCAATCACCATAATCCTAACTGATAGGCTGGATAGTATTTTGGTACTAGTCATTGTAGGTTTCCCTTTCCTTTTGTAAGCCCATTCTCATCTTCTATTGTTTAGAGGGCCAATCTCTTTGGTAATTAATTTCCTAGGTCACAGAGGTTGTTTGTTTCTTTTATTAGTGATGCTTTGCTTCTTGTATTTCTCTCATTTAAAAAAAACAAAAAACAATGAAATAAGTTGAAGTGTCTTCATCTTTGGAGGCTTGTTCATGGTCATCTGAAGACAAGATTGTCCTGCTGAAGCTGTGAGTGAAATCTTTTGGAATCTTCTTCATGATTTGTTGTAAATAACGGACTCAGTGTACATACTGTACATTTTTAATTACATACTACTCGTTTATTATTTTAGGTTACTTTATCTGACCTAGTCAGCTCAAGTACTCAGCTTACAGAAAGCAAATTTAATTGGTTTTTAAAGAGATAGAATGTGTAAAGTGTATTTGTGTATTATGTGGCTGCAGAATGTTTTTGCTCTAGTATAAGTCTTCCCAGTATGGCTATGTGTAGGGATCTAATAATTGTGACAGCCATTTCAGACTGATTTTGACATCAGTGTGTTTAATTCCAAATTTGTACAAGACTTCTACTGTCAAATTTGTGATCTCATTTTACATTACACCTATTGTCATTGACTGCTATTTGACTTAAAATCGTACAAAATCAGTGTAATATAGGCTAGAATCTTGAATCCCATTTTTTTTAAAAACATGTTTTTTGTAACCTTTTATTTTATTAGGACTTTTGGTGTATTATGACAGTGTGCCTATTGTTCTTCAACAAATCCCCTTATAATTTATCTGAGTGCCAAACAGGTTTAGCTAATTATGTTTCATGTGTGCCACTTTTAGTTCCTAAATTGTAGCTACTGAAATTGGTGAAAGCAACTTGTTTCCACATTTTTCATCACAACCAGTGTAGGTAGTGACAATACATATGCAACATGCAAGTTGTATTATTGCTGCTTTAAGCTTCTTTGTATTTATCAAGCTGTATTTATTCGTGTCTTTGTGACAATCCACGACTGAATGTGCACAGTGCATGAGCTGTTCACAATTCTTTGTTTAAGCACCTCCACCTTTTCACGTTCTTTACTTGTCATATATATTAATAGTTCATCAGAAGAGCTGACATCTTATGTTGTGGGTGAAATAAATTCCATTTTCATGAAATTTTGAATAAGTTTTCATGAAAAATTTGTTCATTGTTTCCACTTATGGTCTCTTTAAAAAAAAATAAAAATAAACTCCTTTCAGGTTCTTGGAGTGGATTATAAATTCACTTTAAACTCAGTAGCCACAGCAGCTAATTATGTCTGTATGCATCCATTTTATATATATACTTGGTCTATATATTAATCAACTGTGCCATCTCAAATAAAGAAAAATTTCTATTTATGTAGTAACAATTTTTAATGAGGACTAGTCCCAACACATTATATGATCAGCATCTTAGAGTACTTAAATGTTTAACATAAATAATATTCAACAACAATAAAAACTTGGCATATATAACAATACAGATACTTAGGGTATATAAACAACAATAAGTTTTGATCCAAGCCTGAAAAAAGCAAAAACAACCACAAACAACAACGACAATCAACCCATCAAAAACGGACGTTACTGCACTACTGAGCAATCAACACTCAACACTCACTATCACAGACGACAACGCTGGCGAGGCACAGTGCGAACGCGCCACTCTGACTACCATTTCCACTCCCGTCTCACCAGTGAAGGACCTGGTCCTGAGCACCCCGTCAGTGGTGACCACCGTAGCCACCACCGCCGCCACCGCCGTGGCCGCCGCCTCCACCAGACTTGTGGGCGTATTTCTTCCCGGACGAAGCTCCGTCCTTCTTTCCATAGTCCTCCTTGTGGCCGTACTTGGCCTCGGAACTAGCAGAGCCCTTATTGGCCTTGTGATCGTCGCTCTCCTTGCCCTTGTCCACGTGGGACTTCTTGCCCTTGTGGCCCTCGTCATAGGCGGAGCCGTGGTGGCCGCCCTTCTTGTTGGCGCCGCTCTTTCCGCCGTGAGTAGCCGCGTAGTCGCCGCCCTTGTGGTGCTGACCACCCTTGGAGTTGGAGTCGTAGAACGACGTGTCCTTCTTGAACTCATCCTTGTTGTACACGTTGTGGTAGCCGGTGGACTTGTGCCCCTTCTTGCCGTGGCCCTTCTCGCCGTGCTTGGCGCCTCCGCCGCCCTTGCTGCTCGTGTGGTGGTCGCCGTACTTGCTGGCCTCGTCCTGGTGCACCTTCTTGGCGCCGCTCGCCTTGGCGAAGGTGCCCTTGTGCGCGTCGCTGCCGTGCGCCCCCGCCTCGCCGCCGCCGTACGATTTGGTGGACTTGTGCCCCTTGCTTGCCTTGCTGCCGTGAGACGAATACTTGTCGCCCGAGTGCTTGGAGCCACCGCCCGCGGAGAAGCTTTTGCCACCTCCGCCGCCACCCCCGCCGCCGCCGCCGTGGCCACCGCCGCCGTGGCCGCCGCCGCCGTGGCCGCCGCCGTAGCCGTGGTGGTAGTCATCGTGGGACTTGAGGGGAGCGCTGTGGCCGCCACCGCCGTGGGCACCGCCACCATGCCCTCCCACGCTGTGCCCGACCTGCTCAACGAGGTCCTCGTGATCGCCGGCGTCCACCTTGAACGCCGACGGGCTGTACTCCTCGCCGATGGCCTTAAGTGCTGTGAAGTCCTCCGTCTGGAAGGCAGCGCCGTAGTCCTCGTCTGCACGGGCGTGGAGTTGTGCGCGGTGTTTGTGGCCCTTCGGGCCGAGGTGGACGTCGCGCGCCGACTTGAGTGCGGCGGGGACGCTGCTTATGTAGTCCTCGGCCGCATCGCCCAGGCCGTGGATGGGGCCATGAGGAAAGCCGGATGGGCCGTCACTGAGGTGCTCGTCTAGCCCTCCACCCAGGCCCCCACCCAGGCCTCCGCCCAGGCCCCCGCCACTCTCCTCGGCGCCGTGTCCTCCATGGCCACCGGGGAGATCAAGATGATCCGGTCCGAAGTTGGGGCTGTCCTGGTGACCTGTCTCGTGACCACCAACTCCCAAAGTTCCTCCAACGACAAACTCGTTGCCGGAGCTGGAGCCGGAGCTGGAACCGGAGCTGGAGCCGGAGCTGGAGCCCAGGCCTGCAACTGCACTGGATCCGAACGAGTGTTCCACATTGTCCAGGTGGCCGTCGAGGCCCAACCTACCGGAGTAGAGAGGCTTCTGGGGTCGCTGTTGCTGCTGTTGCTTTTGCAGCCGTTGCTGCTGGTGCTGCAGCTGGTACTGCGGCGCGTCGAACACGATGGCGTCGGACTCCTGACCCTGGCCCAAGCCCTGGCCAGCGCCCAGCTTCAAGAACAGCGCCGGCTTGTTGCCGTCCTTCCGGTAGATGTAGCCGGAGGCGGTCGCCGACGAGTCCTGGTCCTTCCTGGTCACGTTGGCGGAGGGGACGATCGCGGCAGCGGCCGGCCCGGCGGGGAGGGGAGCGGCGACGGTGCACGCCGCCAGGAGCAGCCACAGTGCTGGCCGCAGGAGCCACATGGTGTCGTCAGGTTGGTGTCAGTGTCAGACGAGGAATGCCTGTCCGACCACGGCGGTGGGGGTTTATATAGGGCCGGCAGCACCAGGTATCAGGACCGTGTCGCAAAAGCGACGAATTTTCCACCCAATTTGAGTGTCCAATTACCAGGAGCCGCCAAGGCAGCCGAGGCCAGGCCGGGCGGAGGGGAGGCTCGCGCCGCACGCCCCAGACCGGAGCTGCTGCCGGACACAGAGGTGCCACCGAGGTTCCCCCAGTCCCAGCGCGGCTGGCGGCAGGCGGCAGGCGCCGAGTCGCACCATCGAAATCTTCATACTTGTTGTGCTGATGGTCTCGGTGCATCCTGGGTGCATCCTTCCTAGATATACCTCAAGAGTGCGGAGCGGGCGATTCTCGTGGACCTGCGGAGCTCGCACATCCTGCACAGCCTGCACACCCTGTACCGTGTTTGCCTATGGGATCGCCAAGAAAGTACGTCCGTTTTATCTCAGATCGATTCGGTAAATTATGAGTAGGGGAGCTCGGCGCCTGTGGGACTCAGGGTAGGCCAACCCGCAGTGCACGTATGCACTGCACGCAAGACATTGCCTACCCATCAGGCGCTATGAGAGCCTGCAGAGGCTGAACTTGGCTGATACGGACGTACTTTCTGGATAATCTCGGACCATGGCGCCTCACGGCCAACGCCCAAGAGTTGAAAGTAATCTCCATACTTTTCTTATTGAAGTGACGAAATTGGACGGGGGAATGATCATTCCAAAGCGTTGTGTTCGAGTCCTCCTCAGGGTTGCGCGGTCGCCCCGGTCACCGTCGCGCGGGGCGCCGGGAGGTTAGGCAGCCCAACCTACGGCACCATCGGTGGTCGCGGCGCGGTGCGGCCGCTTTTGGTGGATTCCAGAGGGGGTCGTCCTTGTAGGTCCTTCACCCCTAGATGCAGCGGCGGCGGCGGCTGCAGCAGCTGCGCGCCCGCCGGACGGAGAGGAGGGAGGCACCCAGGAGGGGTGGGGGCCAGAGGGTCAGTGGCGCAAGGCGCAGGCCTGTCGATCAGCTCGTCGGTTTGTCACGCTTTGGCGCAACGAACGCTTCTCGATCTGCAATGGCCGTTTGGCACCTTGGTGTGGTATGCTGGCCTGTTGAACGCGATGGCAGAGTCCTCCGCGGACGGTCCTCGGTGTGCATCGCGCCACAGGACATGCGCCCTATCCCCATGTTCTTCCACCCAATCTGCCGACGTGCTTGTTTGCGCTATGAGTGACGGATCTTGGTCGAGAGCTGTTTCGTTTCCGACCTGAATGATAGAATGACGGACAGGTGGTCTTACCGACGAAGAACACAGCGAACCCAACTATGCATATTGCACCGCGTATTCCTGCATAAGCAGCAGCCCCTGTCGGTAAAGGCGCCTCTCTTGGGTTGTCGGAGGTCTGACTTCCACGGCCCACCTACCGCGAAACGCTGGACTTGTCTGGAGTTTCAGCGACAGCAGATCCAGAGTCTGCTGGGTCCTGATGGTCCTGGCCCCAACCCTCCCGGAGGAGGAACAGCCCCGAGTCCCGGGCCCCGGGGTCCCGCCGGGACGACCGCCGCCGACAGACTGGTCTACAAAGTGCAGGCGCGCTGCGGCGGTAGCGTGGCAGAGCAAAATCTAATTATCGCGTGTATTCGGGGCCGGTCAGACCCGTGGCCCCGGCGCGCCCCGCGAATAGTGATGTGTCACGGCGCGCCCGCCGCCCTCCGCCCGCCGCCCGCACCACCCTGGGCAGGATGGCAGGGGAGGGCGGGGTGGAAGCAGGGCTACGGGATACGGCTGACCTTGAACACGCCCCCACGCCACCCACGCTTTCAATTAAAAAATTTGAATGCGGACGATGGTTGGAAAGTGGATTTAGGTCTGAGGTCTGGGGGCCACAGCGCTAGTCGGAGCTCAACCCCGCTCCCCGTGTTATAAAACTGCGTCTTGTTGTTCACGTAGACTCGGCGTAGAATCCACGCAATTGATTTATTTCACGTAGACTCGACGTGGATTCTAGGTAGATTGCTCTTCCTCAGAACTCGCATACTTGGACCTCCCTTGCTTTGAACTCCCCGTCCGAGTGCAGGTCATCTCTGCAGGGCCAGCCCGGTCAGACAGAGAAGGCAAGTCTGAGGCCAGCCGGCGCGACACTTTTTACCTCGTGTGCCTCGGTGCGCCCGCCCGCGCGCTCGCTCTCGCCCCGCCAGTTATAATCGCTTCATTCCACATCGATTAGGCAGACCCCACGGCGCGTTTCAAAACAGATGGGAGAGGGAGGCGAAGGGGACGGGGGATGATGGGAAAAAATCTGAGGACTTTGGTGGATGCTGGGAGAGAGAGGCCAGCTTCGAGTGGAATAAAACGGGCTGGCGCGCTGTCGGCGGCACTCACTCGCTGCCATGGTGTTGAGGTGGGCGGCGCGCCCCTCCGCCCTCACCCTCGGCCTGCTGCTGCTGGCCTCCTGGGGACCCTGGAGCTCCTCTGCCCGTCTTCTGCCCATCAGGTGAGTACCTGAGCATCCCCTGCTCACTGGCGTTCGGACGGCGAGATATAGTTTCCTTAGTCCGCCGTCCAAAGCCATCACCGGTCGTTGCTTTGCGGTGCCAGCCAATCTGTAGCAGGTACAACGCGGTGAGTTTGATCAGTTTGATGGTTTCTCTGACGTGCCCTCTCTGCTCTCCCCTGACAGCGGCGATGACGGCGAGCTGGGCTGGCGGTCGGCCGTGGAGGACCTCGCGCCCGCCGCATCGTCGGTGGTCGCCGCCAATGTGACGGGCGGCGTCCCGGGGCTGCTGGGAGCGGCTGGCGGCGGCGCGGGCGCCGCGCTGGCGGAGCTCCTCAAGGCGCCCTCCGCCCAGAGCGTCAACGCCGTGGCGCCGCCCGCGGACATGGAGGTGGCCGCCTCCAAGAAGAAGTGGAAAAAGGGCGGGGGAAAGAAGCACAAGTCCAAGAAGCACAAAAAGAAGGGCAAGAAAATGAAGAAGGGGTACGAGGGAAAGCACAAGAAATGGAAGGGTAAGAAAGGCCACCATAAAAAAGACAAACACAAGAAAAAGTATGCCATGAAGAAGGGAAAGAAGAAAAAGCACAAAGATGAAGGGGGTTACTTCAAGAAGCACAAAAAGGGCAAGAAGGGTAAGAAGGGTCACAAGTATGTGAAGAAGGGTAAGTACGACAAGGGGCACTCGACCAAAGGTAAGCATGATATCCATAAGCTTAACGAGAAGAAAAAGATCAAGCACTTCCATGACAAAAAGTACTCATCAGGCCACAAAGAAAAGAAGGGGGGCAAAAAGAAGAAGTGGAAGAAGAAGAAGGGCAAAAGCTTCAAGAAGGGACACAAGAAGAAGGGGAAGAAGTCCAAGAAGTGGGGAAAGAAGGGAAAGAAGTCCTCTGGAAAGCACCACAAGTCGAGCAAGGGCCACAAGAAGAAAGGAGGAAAGAAGAAGCATCACAGTCACAAGAGCAAGTACGGCAAGAAGGGAGGCAAGAAGAAGCACAAGAAGTGGGGATACAAGAAGGGGCACTAGTTGTGCAGCCCCTGTCGCTCAAATCTAGTCATTGCACTGCTCGATAATAGTGCACTCTAGGATGGTGTCGGCAGGTTGACTGTCAAGGTACCGATGGACGATCCCGAGAGAGGCAGCCTGCCGGCTGATATTTGTTGTTGTTGTTGTTGTTGTAGTTGTTATTTGTTTTGTTAAGTTTGAACTCTTTAAGGAATAATTTATTGAACTATTTTTCAATAAGTGTACCCATCTCCGCTTTGACAATGAGTGTCTTATGACGCATGCATCGGATTGTCTAAATGAATTCAAAGCCGTAGATGGTAGAATGTTTTTATTATGACTATTTTTTACTTTACTTTGGGACCAGCCCAAAGTTAACGTTCCTGCAAATAATCCTAATCGAGGTCCAGCTTTTTGAATGATCCTTGTACACCAAATAGGTCTGATTCGGTTTTTGCTTTCCCCGGTCGTTGGCTTTCGTCGACACAGCGCTTCTCTTGCTCAAGAAGATATTTCTCGTATGTTTTGAGGAGCTTGATCGAATCGGCTGGAATGCAGTTATTTGAAATAAAATTATTGTGACTAGCAATCTGAAAAATGTTGTGTTTATTATTAGCATTAGCTTACATTGTAGTTCTTCCAAACTCTTCTCACTTCCGCCAAAGTCCGATGGAATGCCACTTTTGTCAAGTAAATCAGCAAGGCCGTCCGCAGTCTTGTAGATTTTTATCTAGAAAATATTACAAAATAAATCAAATATATTTACAAGAAATTAATCACTACTTACAATCGGCTCAATCAGGAAAACAAACCATCTCAGTTAGCTCTTTCTTTAGAAAAGGTTTAATGAGAGACAGAATATTGTCCATAATGGAAGATGCGTTGATAAAAACTAAGCCTTTGATTCTGACGGGAAGGGCCTCCTGCAACAATTCAATGAATTTTAGAGATCGAACACGTTATTGTCAAAATTTGTGTCACTCGGTGCTTGCCTGGAAATATACGAAGAACTTGGCCATGATGGTGAGGTTGACGGCGAGGTGGCCGAAGGAGACGCCCTTCACGTCCAGAACACAGACGAGCCCCTCCTCGGTGCCGTGGCGCGCGATCCAGGCCTCCTGGAGGGCGCACCACGCCTTGGAGCTGGTCGTGAACGAGTAGACTCGGGGGTTGGTGTCCTTGAGCTTAAAGAAGGACACCGTGGATCCGTCCTTGGCCTTGGTTGGAAAGATAGTCTGCAGTCTGGAACAGCAGGGGGTAGACAGCAAGGTTCCAATGTCATCAGCATGGCGCTGGCATCGGCTTGGACAGCGCTGGGGACGGCGGAGCGGCGCAACTCACACAACTTTGCCGAAGGCCGCGGACACATCGGCGCTCTGCAGGGTGCGGTCCGTGAAGAGCTCCGGCGCGTGCGTGCGCACCGTGAAGTACGTGTCGAGGGCGGTCTTGGCCGGCTCCAGGCGGTAGTAGCAGGTGTGCAGGAACAGCACCAGCTCCGCGTCTGCAACGAGCCGCACGAGACGTGCAGGGGTGTGGTAGGCCACCCGCCCCGCGCCCGAGCGCCGCGGGCGGGCGTCGTTGCGCCAGTGGCAAGGAAGGCGGTCCCTCCGCTGCGCGGCGCGCGCCCGCGGAGTGGGCGGAGGGTGCGTGGTGGAACCGGTTTAGCGCATCTGCTCGGGGCTCGGTCCGCGCGAGCGTAGCGTAGGGGTGACCCATGGGCCGACCGAAGCTTATTGAACCCTCGAGGTGTACCGGCTGATTCAGAGAAGACGCAGGTGCGGGCGGGTTTGCCTACCCAAGGGGCTATGGCGCCTTACGGGCAGATCGGGTAGCCAAACCCGCGCGCTCCTGCGTCTTCTCTGGATCACCCGGTACCACGTGGCCGGATTGCCTTCCGTAGCAGCGACCACGGCTCCTTATACGAGTAGGTAAACCCGCCCACCGCCCGCGTGCATGCGGTACAGTGTAACCACGAAAGTGCGCAGAGTGAGTCAGCCAACGGAGAGGCACCTTAACTTTGGGACCAATCAATTTACACTCCTTATCCAGACGTCCCTCAATCACATTTATAGCTCCAGTCGTAAAAAAAAGTACAAACAAATTCAGATGTATCTTAAATGTTTGTTTAAATTAGAACTGACTTATATTTTGACATTTTGACTCGAGTAATGGGACGCTTTTTTACCGCGTTCTGCGGATTCTGAGCCCATACCAACGGGAATGTTAAGCACCAGTTCTTACCTGAGACCTTGGGCAGGTGAGGCTGCTTGTCTACCCAGTCTCTGAAGGCCTGGAGGTCCTCATCCTTGACCTCCGGACGCTTCTTCCTCTCCTCCTCCAGCGTGAACGTTGTCGCCTCCATGTCAATCTGGGTGTAGGGCAGTCCTGCGAAGGGTCCTGCGGATGGTCCTTTCTGACGGCAGAGAAGACACGGTGTGACGTCAGAAAACCGGTTCTGCGCAAATCGCGCGCTGCTGAGGGTGGCCAGCCCGGCCCGGCTGCCGTCCCGGGCTCCAAAATAGGTCGAACAATCGGTACAGCGAAAGTGAAAACTGCCCTTACTCACATAAAATGTTAAAGGAGATTTCAACGGATGAAAGGTATCTCACGGCTGCGTGTCCACCACGGGACCACAAAGTAAATGCCTAGTAGTGGGATGGCGAGTGATTGCCAGGCACTCGTGCCGAGCCCCCGGGGAAAAGCTAACCGAATGTTTAGTGCTGTGAGATGACGAAGGAAAGAGAGGGAAATAGCAACCGGGCCGACAGTCGCTTTAAATGACACAGCCCGCGACAGCATCAGCCGCAGGCACGAACCCGGCCGGCGCCGGCGTGTGCGTGTGTGCGCTGTGGGGGCCCATGGGCCATGGGGGCCGCGGTGCAGTCTGGCAGCTGACCGCGGCCATTCGTCTTATCGGGCATACTTGCACTTTAGTGCTGCTACGAATGTTACGTCTTACGTCCTTGAGGGGCGCAATGCGAAAGCGAGAGTTCCAGCGCGTGAAGAGCGACAACGAGACAAGGGCCAAGGTCATAAGTATCTACTGTACGACCGTGGGAAAGTGTGGCTAGCACACATCCTCCCGAAAAACATGGTGTCCCATATTCCCGGTGAATCCGAGTTGGCGCCGAAGTGTTGTGGGTTTGCCTACTCGCCCGGGCGGCAGGCGCTGGGAGGTGCGAGTCATGCGGTCATGCGATCCCTTTCGTCCTTCGTCCACCCCCCGGCACCCGGACGGAACATACGTGAGTGAGACTACGCAGAACACCGAGCCTCTATTGAGCCAACAGGCTTGGAGTACGGAGTCGCTGGTCCAACCGCTGGCGCTGGGAAAAGCCGGAGTCCAGGTGTGTCCTCGGCGTCGGGCGTCGGGTGTCGTCCGCAGGAGTCCGGGGCCGAGCTGCTGCCGGACCTGTGCGGCGGTCAGGAGCGTACTGACTGCGCCCGTCCCGTCGCTCTCGCATGCCGGGGTGTGGTGGCGCGTGGCGTGGACCCAGAGCAGTCCCGCGGCACGCCGTGCAGCAGACCCAGCAGGGCAGCCCAGCCCGCACGAACAGTCATCCGCACGCAGCGGCCAGTCTGTTTGGACGTCAATTTTTGATTTTATTTTGGCGAATGAAGCACTGAGTGGATACGGGAGGCCAGTCGGATGAACCCGAAATGTGAATGTGTGATAAAGTAATGGTAAACCGATTACATACTTTGTTACATTTAGCAATAATCGTTTTGAAGAAATTTTCTAAAACCTTTTTTTGTTGTGGAGAATTACAGGAGAAGCTCCTTCTTTCTGTAAAGCAAAGCGATTGAAGTATAAAAATAGTGCACAAGACAGTCTTGGGGACTGTCTAGAAAAGAACCAAACTAGTTTTGCTTTATAGACTATAAGTGAATGTGTGTATGTGTGTGTTTACTCTTGCAGGCGTTCATAGGTAGGCTTAGCGTTGAAGAGGGAGAAGGAAGAGGTAGCCAGCAAAGCCGACACGCTATTTGGCGTGCGCCTGTGTGCCGACTAGACAATGACAGTAATCAAGATGGCCCTGGAGTCAAAAGCAGTCGAAATTAATTTATGATGGAGTTTGTGACTGTGTGATTTCGTCGAGGGAGGAAGATTAGTGTGAAATTATGAAATACTGGGTTATTTTTGTGACCATTAATTTATTGACTAAATCAACAATATCACGACAAAAAAACAACACTATACAACCAAAACATTACATCACAATCTTAATAAATAGATGACTATGAGGATCACTGGAGTTCAGTCACATTCGGAAGGAGACAACCCTGACTCACTGGAACAACATGAAGCTTATAAGGTGCGCCGATTCCCAGCGAAGGTAACATCATACATCACATCGTACTGTGTCCTTCCGAGAGAATAAATAAGTACTACAATTAAAATAAATAATAACAATGATGTCATGAGCATTCAAAGAACACTACACAAACGACAAACGGGGATAAACAATGTGTTTGTGCAAAAGTGCACGAAAATGATGTGGGAACCAAAATTTTAAATCACAGTTTTACCCAAACCAAAACGGCGTCATTTTATCCGGTGTTGCTGTCTCCCCCCAGGGCTTGCAGTCCTCCTCTAGGACTGCCGGGAGTCTGTTTGGCAGGCACGTCTCAGTGGTGGCCCTTCTTGTAGCCCCACTTCTTGTGCTCCTCGTGGCCGCCCTTCTTGCCGTAGTCCTCCTTGTGGCCGCTGTGCGACTCCTGGCCGCCGCTGCTCTTGTGGCCCTTGTGGTCCTTGTAGTGCTTGCCGTGCTCGGAGTGGCCCTTCTTGCCGCTGTGGCCCTCGTCGTGGCCGGACTTGTGGTGGCCCTGCTTGTAGTGCCCGCCGCCGGACTTCTTGAAGCTGTCGTGGTGGCCGCCCTCTTTGGCGTGGTGGCCCTCGTCGTGGTGCTCGTCGTAGAACTTCTTGTTCTTCTTGAACTCGTCCAGCTTGTGCACCTCGTGCTTGCCCTTGGTGGAGTGGCCCTTGTTGTACTTGCCGTGGTCCTCGAACTTGTGGCCCTTGTTGCCCTTCTCGCCCTTGTGGTGCTCGGCGTAGAAGCCTCCCTCGTCGTGGTGCTTCTTCTTGTGGCCCGCCTTCTCGTCGTAGTAGCCCTTGTGGCCCTCCTTGTCGTGGTGGCCCTTCTTGCCCTGCCAGTGGTGGTGGTCGCCCTTGTAGCCCTTGTCGGACTTGTGGCCGGACTTCTTGGCGTGCTTCTCGTGGTGCTCTTGGCCGCCACCGCTCTCGTGGTGGTGGCCCGTGGCCGCCGCCACCAGGTCCAGGTCGCCGCTCGAGTCGTCCTCGTCGGCGCCCCGGTGGATGTCGCGGCAGTGGACCGCCCCGATGGCGAGCACCACGCCGAGCAGGAGGAGGAGGCGAGCCATGCTTGGATGAGGAGGAGGAGTCGATGAACTGATGATGACAGCCTGGGTGCCGGCCCTTTTTATACTCCCCTCCCTCACAGAGCGGTCCGCGCAGGCCGAGCCCTGGGCCGCGCTGGGCAGGGGCACTGCCTCCCCCCACCCCTCTACCCCACCGCAAAGCTGCGAGATCTCCACGGAGGGCCGCGGCTCTCCTTGGCGGGAAGCGCCAGGCTCCGCGCCCCGCGCTTTCACCCGCGCCGCCCGCCGGGGCCTGGCCCACGGGCCTGGCCGGTGCGCGGCGCGGCGGGTACGGCGGTACGGCTCGCAGGGGCAGGGAGACCCCGCCGCCGCCGCCACCCTCTCAGCGGACACCAAGTTACGGAACGTGGACAGGGGGGCAGTGAATGATTATGATATTGCATCGGATTGATTTGGTCACAGTGTCAGCTCCGAGAGGAGCCGGTGGGCTACAGGGCGGGGAAAATCCCTAATAGCTATTGTGTGCTTTGTGAAGGACTAGACTGGAGGACCCTCGGCATGGCGGGCGCCTTGCGACACGACCGCAAACACCCTGACCGCACTGACCGGGCCGCAACATGACCGACTGACCACTAAAGACCACTGAGCGGTCACCCCCTTTGGGCAGTGGATCAGTGAACACCCAATCCGTTATCACCACCCCACCACCTTTACCCGCTGCAGGTACCGGGTGTTTATTTGAATGCGCTCCAGTGTTGCGGATATGCCTACTTCCTTCGCCTGGTGTTGGGCGCCATCGCCCCTGCAACCCTTGCGAATTTACAATCCCACAACATAGAAGCGCATTTGAAGAAACCCTCTTACACTAGGGTCATATACGTCTACCCGATAGGGTGGGATGCGATATGACACATAGAGCTCGTGTAGAGAGGTCGCATAGGGACCCTGGATTGGATGGCTTCTAAGCCAGACGCCACGGCGAATGGCGACAAAAAAACGCTTAGCTGGCATGGAGGCGGCGAACAGGACGGGACGGTCCGGCCGATGCTGGGCTTCGGGAATAATTGATTCTGACACGGGCGTTTCCCTGTTCCGAAAGGAAGGACGTCGGAAGCTGCAGTCGGCTGCAGCAGCAGCTCCGGTCCGGCCTTTAACGCGATTATCATATCGCAGAGGATGGACCCGATATGACTAAGGGGGTGCGGATTTCACCGAGCGCCGGGCGGGGGTGAGGTGGAACTTTATCCTCAACTATCCATTATCAGGTGGACTAGGTTGTCCATGGCGCCTTTAGGGTGGAGCGGGTAGGGTAGGAAAACCCGCATGCTGCTGTGTCGTGGTCCTGACACACGGTTTGTACCGCAGTTTCGCATATTACCACGAGAACGTAACAGTCTGGTAATAAGCAAGCCAGCAAGACCGCCCGGCCCGCATGCGGTGGACCCGGCTGTACCAAGTGTGACAGGTGGCTATAAAACCCCCTTGGAATTTCTGCACGCGCTGGTGTGCTCGTGTTGCCTACTCGCTCGCCATAAGGCGTCACATGATAAGGCACGATTGCGTGTCGTAGATGACTACACAGGGTGATCGCTGTGCCCAGTCCCAGCAAACAAAACGCGTGTACTAGTAGTCCGCGCGCACGGGAGCGGAAAGGTTTGCCTATCGTCTGTACCAATGGGGCCTTATGGCCCCCATGACAATGCGAATGCTGGGACGGGGCACAGCGATCACACTTTATATGGAAAATCCTGCAGTGTCTAACCATATGACACCTTGTAGCCTGATGCGGGTAGGCAACCCACCCACTCGTTTGAATGGATATTGTAAAAGTAATAAAATAACTCGAAACAATCCATACAGACAGTTCGACAAACAGCCAAGGAGAGAGGGGGGGGGGGCGCAGCATCTGTTACCTAGGGAAGTCCCAGAGAGGCGCTTGCCCGCCCCGCCGTACTGGTCAGTTCAATGTCCCGGCCTTGTCCACCTCGGCCTTGCCCTACCTCTACGCTACGATGCCCAGTAGCTGGCGGGCCCGGCGGGTGGGGGGATTGTCTCGTGTTACGGTCCGCCGCCTCTCTAGTTTTGATGCGTCGTCGGCTATTGACGGCAGATAGACGGCAATTTGGCCGTATTGCATTCTGGGATCAACTCGGCGGAACAATCTTACACATCCCCACTCTCACCCCTAGCACACCTACACCTTTATATAGATCCGTTATGATGGCCACTATAGGTTATAGAATACGATAAATATTGTTTTCGATCATTAAGCTTTCTCTCCAACAATAAAGAAAAAAATCATTCTTTCTACCACAAACTATATCCCACTTTCTACTTCTTCAACCCGAATTTACAAATGATTAGTGTTTGGTAGCACCCATCCCATCAGCGAGGAGTGAAAGGAAAGCGGAGGTACTTTGAGACCAGCTGGCCCTTTGAAACTCTGCATATTCTTAATGAAAAATGTGTTTCAACCGCGGTCCCAACAGTTGGTTGTTAGGAAAGAAACGTTCGTGATTCCTACTCTTGCCTTCATGCGTACAGGAGTAGCAGAGGGATATAATCAAGCGATGCTGATTAAGGTGAAACAAAGTAAAGAACACGGCAACATTGTAAACTTGAATATGACGTGTGACATAACGTGTGTCTCTTGTGTCCCCTGGATGAACATCGTGCTCTCTAGAGAATCATGTGAATTTACAGAAAACGTCTGGCGATGCACGGTGCTCCACGTAAACAGGGCAAAGAAAAGTTATTAAAGTAGGAGACCTTTGGCAACGTAATACAATTGAAACTACGGAGAAAGGAAGGAGCAGATTGGTAATGTGCGAACGAATTTTAGTGAATTAAAATAGGATGCCAGCTCAGAAAAAGAAATAATCAGACAGACCCTTTCACACCGACAACTGCGCGAGCTTCCTCAATCCAGAACAGTCCAGACGGAAAGGGGAATATCCAGAAAATATGTCATTTACGAAGTTGACAAGTTCAACCTCAGTAAGCTCTCAGAGCGCCTGATAGGTAGGCAATACCATGCCTGCGGTGCATGCGTGTATTGCGGGGTAGCCTACACTGAGTCTGACAGGCGCCGAGCTTCCCTAGTTTGCCGGATGAATCTGAGGAAAACAGACGTACCTCGTCGACGACCCCAAACAATGCCTCGGACCGGCAGATCTGAGGAGCGCCTGCCGAATGGGAGGCCTAGCCTGCAGGCGCAGGGCGGGGCGGATGGGTTGCCAGCACGGCAGGCGGTCAAGCAGTCCAACAACAACGACCAAGAGGGTGTGCTATGGGTTGTATGTTTGAATATTAGGGCCGCGAAATGGAGGTATGTTTGCGTTTACATGTTTGCCAACTTGGACCGAGATGCGAGGGGCTTGGTCTGTTGATGAGCGGACCGACGAGTCCCCAGATTTTGACCGTCAAAAGAGTCACTGTCTCATTTCGCGAGGGTCGCTACCATGCACTTCCAGTACAAACTACCTAGAATTGGTCAACAATTTTCGCAGAAGCCTCCGCCGTCGAAGCGAGGAGCGCGAGGCGAGAGCGCTTCCGACGGGGAGTGCAACGCCGCCCATCTCGGCCATACTGGTGTCGCCGGTGTCGCCGGGCTGCCGGCGGGTCGCCCCAGTGTCCAATTTGCAAACCGGTTGGCAAAATGGCAAACAGGGCGGCCGAACGGGTTGAACGGCGGCTGCCCAAGCGACCCGGCGCGCACGCGGGCCGAGGAGGTGGCCCGTTTGCCCCGCATGTGTGCGCCGCGCCCCGCCACGCCCCATCACATGAGCCGCGCCTCTCGATACCCCGCGCGCAGCGAGACGCCGCTCCCGGGTGTATCGCCGCGCGCCCCAACGCCCTGAGAGCAGAGCCTGCCAGCTAGGCAGCCGGTCTCACGTCCCTCTCACAAACCCGTAGGGTCACGGGGTACGCTGTTAAAAATAAAGTTGTCAATGAGCAGCAAATTTCTTGCTAATTTTTATGATGGATGCTGTTTTTGTACAGCGATCTTATTTGTTGTTTTTCAAAAATTATTGTAGAATTACATCCTTTTTCTTGTTGGGGAACCAATAATTGTAGTTATTCGACAGAATTTGTTGTTTCTAAATGAATGTTGTGGTCATAAACATAAAACTGGAAATTTTCCATCACCAATGCATTCGTGGGCATTAATTTTTGCTTGGTAATACTGACCAGACCCCTGGACCGCCCTTCGCACACCTGGCGCGTTAGACCACCGAGTTCCGGACAGGGGAGCACTGAACGTGATCACGGAGTGTACGGCCTGCTCCGCACCAGTGGTTCAT